CTTACTAGTAGTAGCAAGGACGCTACTAGGGGCTCCTGGCATCGCTAATAGGAGCAAGGATGCTACTAGGAACAAGTGCATCGCTACTAGTAACAAGTGCCTTACTAGTAGTAACAAGGACGCTACTAGGGGCTCCTGGCATCGCTACTAGGAGCAAGGATGCTACTAGGAACAAGTGCATCGCTACTAGTAACAAGTGCCTTACTAGTAGTAACACGAAGCTACTAGGGGCTCCTGGCATCGCTACTAGGAGCAAGGATGCTACTAGGAACAAGTGCATCGCTACTAGTAACAAGGGCCTTACTAGTGGCATCGCTACTAGGAGCAAGGATGCTACTAGAGGCTCCTCGAACAAGTTTCACCGCCAGACCGGCCTAAGGACCGGATGGATGCAGCCGGCTCTCGATCTGGGCCATAGAGCCTCAGATGATAGGCCTGTGAAACCAAAACGTCTTGTCCAGAGAGCTTCTTAGATTTGAAGATGTAAGGGATTCCAACAGGGAAAGCTTGACTAAGACAGCTTTCAAACCCAATCCTTTCCACACCCAAAAGCTTCAAAAACCACCTGTAGACCACGCTTATCGGCCCTACTGGTCCTGGCTAGCACTTAAGCTTTCCAAAAAATCTAGGAGCCAAGTCATTAGCGCGATCTATCCTGCGTCCTACCACGAGCGTCCTCTACCTGGTAGCTACCTCTCCCTTACTTAATTAAGTAGGGAGGAGGGAGAACGGGCTTTCGAGAAAAAGAAAAGCACAAAGAAGCAAGGGATTGGTCCAAAGGAAGGCAGGGAGTGTGAGCTATCCTGCACCCTACCTAGAAGCTAGCTTAGCCTAGTAATAGTAGCTTAAGTAGGCGCCTATTTAAGTAAGTAGGAGTGGGAAAAAACATTATAGGGCCGGAAAGCCCCACGTTAACAACTTCACCAGACACAGGAGCGGACAATTGGTGGTTGGTGGTGGTTGGTTGGAGGTCGGTGGTCGGTGGTCGGTGGTCGGTGGTTGGTTGGTGGTTGCTGGTTGGTGGTGGTTGGAGAGCACCAAGTGCTGCGCCTGCCACGCAAATCACACCGGCACAGCGGCGGCGACCCAGGAGCACCAGGGCGTACATCCGACCCCTTCGAGAGCGCTAAAACAATTGGTTGGTGACAGTTGGTTGGTAGCAGTTTGTGGGTGGAAGCTTGTTGGTGGCAGCTGCTTGGTAGCAATTGGTTGGTGACAATTATCTATGTCCATTTCTTAGAGGCCAGAGAGCTGGCTATATCCGCTTCTAGGAGGCCTGCAGTGGCAATTGGTGGGTGGCAATTAGTTGGTGGCAATTGGTTGATGACAATTGGTTGGTGACAAGCGAGGAGGAGGAGGGAAGGAAGGAAGGAGCGGATACCACTAAAAACAAAACCCCCACACGTCAATGTGGGGAAAAACAGCGTTCCTTGTTACCGAGCTGCTCCCTGGCCACAGTGCCATCAAGTCCACCGTCCCGCAGGTGGAGGTCGCGAGCGGCCTCAGCCACTACGCAAATGCGGCTGGTAAGGCCACCCGTGCCTCGGTTGCAAAAGGTCTCTTTGCCGGGATATTTCTAGTAACAGGTGCCACGCTAGTAGTAACAGGTGCCTTACTAGTAGTAACAATAAGAATTTAATTAGAATTAAATTAAATTTACTTTTCTAATTTCTTAGCTTCTTGTTACTACTAGTAAGGCACTTGTTACTACTAGCGATGCACTTGTTCCTAGTAGCTTCTTCCACCCGTGCCTCGGTTGCAAAAGTTGTCACAAAAAACAAACCGAATAGCAAAAGGAAGCTAATAGCAGTGGCCTCCAACCTAGCGATGGCCTCCATGTTTGTGCTTTCCTACAAATTCTTTTTCTTGGAGTGGTCACAAGAATGCTTTTGGCTTCCAGAAGAGTTCTTGGTTAAAAAGAGCTTGGTCCAGAAGGCATGCTTCTTTGTAATGCAGGCAGCTTCTGGGTTTCACTTCTTGTGTTTAAGGAAGTTGGGGCCGTGTGGCGAAATGCCGACGGAATTCTCCCTCGGGTTGTAGGATTCTATTTGCTTTCAGGTTTGCAGTCCAATGAGGATTCTGCACATCTTCGAATCAGTTGCCTCCGTCAAATCGGGGCCCTCAAAACAATCACAGTCATTCTACCGTCCCTCTAGTAGGTTGGACGCCATCGCTTCTAGGTTGGAGACCGTTGCTAGGTTGGAGGCCATCCCTTTCACCATGTGTTTGACATAGCTGTCCAATCTCGTCGGCCATGCGGCTCAGCGCGCTCTTCCGTGCATCGAGGTCCTCTGCCAGGCGCCCAATGACGCGGCCCGTGAGTAGCGGGCTCTCGCAAACCACCTCGGCGCTTTGAGGGCTTAAAGATGCTGAACGGCTGAACGAGGCTTTACCGATGAACATCCAACTTAAAGCCGAACGTGCTTGGGTTTGATATGACCTCCAACCTAAAAGCGAGGGCCTCCAACCTACTAGAGGGATGGTAGAATGAGGTTGATATGGTGAACACTTCTTTTCACATGTACCAACTTTTACCAACTTTTTGGATTCTCCAGGGCAAATATCGGGTACTACAGGCAACTAACCAAGGCCCTCAGGCCCTCAGGTAACTTCACCATACCTTGCCCACCCGATCCCTATGAAACAAGTGACGTTGGGGTCACGACCGCCAGTCACGCGGTTGATGCGCTCAGTGTCGCCCTTCTCATACCTTGTTGATTCTTCAAGCTGGAAAGGGAATGTGCCCTGCATGCAAGAATAACACAAGAGAAGTTATACCCAATGGCTTAGACTTAGACAATACCATAGCCCCACACTCTACTTAGAGAAACGTTGCGCAAAGTGGAACGAACAAGGAATATCAAGGAATATGCAATTTTCAATGACACTTCACAGTGGGTCGTGTTTGCCGTGAAGGCATGTGCTCAGCATGCTAGGATGAACACCTTGCACCTGTCACAGGCAGCTAAGTTCTATCTGCTGAGAGGTGTGGCATCACAAAGTGGAGAAGTGGGCCTTGAGAACTTCAGGGTCGGCAGGTCAACTTGTGAAGGCTGCTACGCAAATCACCTCAACATTCGCATTCAGCAACCCCAGGTGTTCAGCATCTTGGTGTCTTGACCCCTTTCCCATCCCTTTCTCAAGCTACTAGGGGCTCCTGGCCTTCCCAACATATTGGGCTCGGTCGTCTTGGTCTGCCTCAAGCTACCAAGTGCTTGGGCGTCAAACCAACTCTTTTGAGTTCCGAAGGCACAGGGACTGGACGAACTCGGTGTAGACGACCCCCGGCCAAATACTCACGCAATCGATGCCTTGAGGGCCCAGCTCCACCTATGCAAAGCGTTTTCGCAAAGAACCGTGGTTTCAAATCAAAACACTCCCTACGAAAGGGACGTTCAAATCTACGTGCCAAAAGCATGGAAGGAACCAGCGAATCTCGCCTGCAGATCACGCACCAGTCGGTCGCCTCAGCCGCAGGCGGCGCGAAAAAACAAACAAACACTGCCCGCAATGAACACTTCGAGAGAAATCGATATGTTCGTAGACAACTCACTCTCTACGGGACAACATATTGGTCCCTCCAAAGAAGTGTTTGCGTTGGGGGGGGGTAGAGGACGCTACTAGGAACAAGAAGCTACTAGGGGCTCCTGGCATCGCTACTAGGAGCAAGGACGCTATTAGGAGCCTAGGGGCTGGCAGCCTTCGACACGCCATAGGCAGTTGCATAGTAATATGTCACCGCTGCTGGCGCAGAGGTAACACAAAGCCTTGCGGAGTACATGCACACTGTGACATTTAAATGATAGGGACATAAACCACCCCTCTGCGGACTAGGATGGACTCTGAAAATGGAACCCCGGAACCAAAGCTTTCTTGTGAGTAGAAGCTAATAGTAGCCCCTGGCATTACTACTAGGAACAAGAAACTACAATAAAGCTTTCTACAAACCAGTGGTTTTCGGTGTCCAGATCTGCAACCGAGCCACAAAGGACGTAGACCGCTCTCATCTTTGGCTGCCGACAGCAGCAAAGGCGCGGCGTAGTATGAGGCCACGTAGTGGGAGCGCAGCCCAACTCCTTGGGTTCTGCTTGGCGAACCAAGTCACAATTGTCCAGACCTTGCAATCAAACACTGATGAGTGGAGAAAGCCTTGGAGTATGCTTTGTGAACCCATCTGACACCTGTATTCATAAGAAAATCAATTTATCATTGTTTTTCAATGGTGAAATTCCAAGAAACACCAAGACATATGTCACTCAGGTGGAGTTAAACTTGGAGCGTAGAGACATCAAATGGGGATTAAAGAAGATGCTCACCACGCTTGGACAATCACATCGGGCTATCGTCTTTCTTCATTTGCCATTGTTCGGCTTGAGTGTGGCAGATTTGCTGATGCGTTTGAAACTTCTCTGATTGGTGATGCTTCATCAATCCGAGTTTGTTCTCTCTTTGCACTTGAGGTGTTGACTGGTGTTCCCCCACCACGCTGTGCCAGACTGCGGTGCACATCATCCCAAACTCTCAAAGGCAGCTCGTAGAATTTCGCTCCCTCGCCATCGCTACGAACGGAGCAAGGACGCTACGAACGGGGCTCCTGGCCATACTACTAGTAACAAGAAGCCATTAGGAACAAGAAGTAGAATTGAAATCAAACTAACATTGTAGCAAAGGACGCTACTAGGAGCCTTTTCACGCGCGCGCGCGGTTTGGCTAGGAACATGGACGCTACTAGCAGCAAAGGGCATCGCTACGAGGAGCGATCGGACGCTACCACCAGGAATCGGTTGAGATGATCTGCGCGCGAGGGAACAGGACACATCTTGTTGAAACTAATAGCTTCTTGTTACTACTAGTAAGGCACTTGTTACTAGAAGCGATGCACTTGTTCCTAGTAACATTCTTACATCTTGTTGAAACTCTCTGTAGGTGAAGGAAAAATGCAACCGTATCACATGGATTGAAAGTCTTTCTGCACCACAGCTCTTGTAGGAATTGAACATCCTTTTGAACACCACTATATAAATCCATTGAACAAAAAGCACAACTTCTTGCAGCATTGCAATAACAATTCAGGCAGTATAAAACAGAACCAAGGAAGAAAGGCCTGAAGGAACATCCAAGAATACATGGTTCATACCCCAAAACTCGCCAAACGAATTCCAATGCGCCGTGGCCCACCGTGGCCTGCCTTGCTCAGGAGTTCATCACTCTTGGGATCTTTCTGCGCCGGGTCCTGCAAAGCTGAAGTGCAAGCCTTCCACTACTAGCGATGGCCTCCAATCTAGTAGCGATGCCTTCCACAAAGAGCTTCAAACCGTCCGTCGACACATTCTTTGCAGTCTTTTCTTTCTTCCCGCCCTTTAGAAACAAGAAGCTAGTAGTAACAAGTGCATCGCTACTAGGAACAGGTGCCTTACTAGTAGTAACAAGAAGCTAGTAGAAACAAGTGCCACGCTACTAGTAACAAGTGCCTTACTACTAGTAACAAGAAGCTAGTAGAATCAACTGGTTGAACTGGATGCTTGGTGTTCATGTGTGGGGCGCGCCTTCAAAGAGCTCTTTGCACACTCTAAAGCACAAACGTTCTCTCTTTCTTGTTTTCTCTTTTTCTTTCGCTTTATTGAACCTGTTCTTTTCTTCTCTTCTTCATGTTTGTTTATCTTCTTTTCCTTGTTTCTTTCTATTCTTATCTTTTTTTGTCCTTTTTCATAATGTCTTTTCTGCCCTTTATCATTATTTTGTTTCTACTAGTTTTTTCGGCTCTTTTTCGTCTTTTCTTTGAGCATTTTTTAATTTTGTTATTCCGTTTCTTCTCTTATTCGTTCGTTCTTTGCTTCTCTTTTCTTTTTCTTTTGAACCATTTTCTTTTCTTCTCACTTTCGTTTTTTTTGTTTCGAATGGGAATTTATTTATATACCTCTGTAAAAACAGTTTCTTTTCTTCTCTTTTTTGTTTTCTTTTAACAATTTTCTCTTTATTGTGTTCTTTTATATATACAATATACATATATGTTCGTTCTTCTTGTGTTCTTTCTTTTCATATCTCATTCATTTTCTTCTTAATAGTTAATAACTTTCTGTTCCCCTCTTTATCGCTTTCTTTTGTTATCATTTTCTTTCTGTATTTCGTGCTTCCTTTTTTCTTATCATTTTTGTTCTTTCTATTCTTCTCTTATTCGTTCTTTCTTTTCTTTTTCTTTTGTATACACTTTCTTTCTTCTCTTTTTGGTTTTCTTTTTGACACCTTTCTTTTGTATTCTTTTCTCCCCCTCTCTTTCTCTCTCTTTCGTTTCTTTCTCTCTGCTCCGCATTTAACAGCATTCAGCAGCAGGCTTCAGTGGATGCCGGACTGAGTCTGAAGCGCTGTGCAGAGTCTAAAAGACCAGGCCTGAAAGGCATTGTTCACAAGGATGTCTAATTTCCCACCCTTAGGTGAAGACTTGGCAGTACAACCCCAAGCTGCCAGCAACCACCTCTACGTAAAGAGAAACGTTCAGGCAAGTTTCTGTTAAGTTTAAGCATATTCAATTAGTTAGGGTTAGGCGAATGTGAAGCCTGTGCCACCAAGTTGCACTCTGCAAGCCAATCCTGAAGAGTCGCACGGCAGAGTTGCAGCTAAGTTGCATCGCTACTAGGAACAAAGGGCATCGCTACTAGGAGCAAGGACGCTACTAGGGGCTCCTGGCCTTACTACTAGAAACAAGAGGACGCTACTAGGAACAAAGGGCATATTTAAATAAGATGCATAAGTTCCTAGTAGCGACGGCCTCCAACCTGTGTGGAGGAAGTGTAAATACCAAGAGGAATCGAGATTCTGTAACAACATACACAACAATCACTCACAAGCAGGGACCTCACACCGAACAGCCCCTACCCTATTGTCCTCCACTTCCCAGCAGTCTCCGGTTCCTGTTGTCAATCCGTGTTCTTCTTACGGAGGGACTAAACACTGCTTGCCACGTGCTACTAGCCTGCCACAAGGACCATAAAGAAACTATGAAGAACTTGCTCTTCAGTAAACCAACCAACCCAAAGCAAATGCAAAAAGCCATAATAAACCATCATGAGACATGAGAGACGCCAAACCCGCTCTGCTGCTGAAGGCGCTGGTCGAAGACCGCCTGCACCTCCTCATCCACACCATGGTCGCAAAGCAGTGGCACCCCCGTGCCCCCTGCGCGTGTCACCAGATCTGCCGTGCTTTCGATGGCCTGCTTCCGGCGTCCTGTCACCTGCTCAAGCGCTTGGGACATATATCTGAGCTTGGTAGAATTCTTTGGCCGGCTCTTGACCAACTCGTGAAGCATTTATTGTTGTTGAAATGTCGCACACCATCTTCTACACGATGGGAGTCAGGTTCAACCTGGCAGTTTTCATTTCACACCCTTCAAACAAGAAGATCATCCTCTTGCAGCCTCAGTTTCTTCCCATCATGCATAGACCCCCACTGAGTTTCGCACGAAGACTCTGGCGCCGAGCTCGCCCAAGGCTATGGCGATGCCCTGACCAAACCGAGAAATCAAAAGACTGAAAATTATTACAGTCCTTGTGGCTGAATGTAAGGGTTCCTGTTGTAGCAGTAGCAGTAGGACAAGTAGCAGCCACAGTGACAGCAAGGCATCTGGGTGCGATACGAGACATGACCATGTACAAGTGGTGCAAGGTCGAACAGGCAGAAACAAGTGCCACGCTACTAGGAACAAGTGCCTTACTAGTAGTAACAAGATTCGCTATTAGAAACAAGAAGCTAGTCATTGCACTCGCAGTCAAAAAGTGTGTTCGAACGGGGGCTGCGAACAACATGTCTTGGTTTAGACACGTATGTCATATGTCTGCGATGCAGTGATCTGCGTGCCCTGAAAGTCTAGACGCTACGAGACTGCGGCAACAGTGAATCCATGGATGGAGCCATAACTTTGTCTGGACAGTGGTGGCTACTCTTTGCATTAATGGTTCGTTCGGCATGCTCAAAGATCGTTGGATGCTTTGGGGTATGATTTGTTGCCAAATCAGCTCGGCCAATTGCAAATTCAATGATCAGTTGGATGTGCAATTTGGCAATTGGCAGATGGGATCTGTTGTCTTGAGTAAAGTTGTTGCGGCAATGATTTTACATACGGTGCAAGCCCAGCGTTCCTGCATCAGGCCCAAGTGTGAAATTGGAGTGCCCACAAAGTCTGCAGTGGGACGCATCACGAATGATGAAGTCTTGCTTGAATTAGTTGCGCCACATCTGCTTTTCCGGGTCGGGCATATTAGCAAGTGGACCTCCTCACAACTTGGGCGGTGCTTTCATCGGCCTCATCAACATCAACATCAACAGATTCAGACTTCACCATGCTGGAGACTATCGCTACTAAGGTGGAGGCCATCGCTGGTAGGTTGGAGGCCGTCACTATTAGGAACTTATGCAACTTATTATTTTTATGTCCTTTGTTCCTAGTAGCGTCCTTGCTCCTAGTAGTACGGCCAGGAGCCCCTAGTAGCGTCCTTGCTCCTAGTAGTAAGGCCAGGAGCCCCTAGTAGCTTCCTTGCTCCTAGTAGCGATGCCCTTTGCTCCGAGTAGCAAACATTGCTCCTACCCCCACCCCCCGCGCGCACGCGTGAACGAAAAGGTCCTAGTAGCCTCCTTTGCTTCTAATTACACTTAATTCTAATTAAATTCTAATTTATGTATTGTTTCTACTAGCTTCTTGTTCCTAGTAGTAAGGCCCTTGCTCCTAGTAGCGATGCCCTTTGCTCCTAGTAGCAAACATTGCTCCTAGTTGTCAAAAAAAGGGCCCAGCCTTCCCGATCCCTCGGCTGGCGCCGGTGACGCATGCCGTGCGCCCGCGCAAAGGGTTGCTCGCCGCGTGGGCCGCGCCGGGCGCGCAACAAAGACCTGGCCGACAAACGAACTGGTAACTGAACACCTGTAAGCATGGCAAGAACCTCTTCTTGCTAGCTCACCATGGGTTCCGTTTGCATTGTAGTGAGCACCCTGGTTGCCAAACATTTGGATCCTTTCTCAACTGGTTCATCACTACGTAAAAACACTGAATTAACACATTGCCAGCCTTCATCTAGGATTAGGAGTGTACCGACTATTTGCTCAATGCAATAGTCAGTCAAAAAGCAATGAGCGAGCTTTTGTGGTGCTAGATGAAACCGCCGTCAGAATGTAGGTTGTGGCTGCTGTCTGACGTTGGGCAAAGCCTTCCATTATACTAGAAGGATTGTGAGGGAATGTTCACGCAATTCCAATCAAGTTAGTAGCTGCTTGGATCATGTTTCAACAATATGCTTTGCAGTGGTTGAGTCATAAGCAAAATTACCATTTCTTCAGCGAACGCCAGAACGACATACAACGATTTGAGCCATCTGCTTTTCCCCAAAATTGGCAATTCTGTTTTAACATGTTTATCCATACCATTACATACCAACCCCATCTATTCTTGCGCTGCCCGTCTTCCGCTATCTCTTCAGGTTTGGTCCAATCTTGCACCGAGGTACCCAACAGCAGCTGCAAACTGTACCGGCGCGAAGGATCTCTTTGACCCTGGATGGCTCAATCGCAAAAATCGATCTCGGACAGTCAACTTGGGGGATTGGCCAGCAAAGTTGATGAATCCCAACTGTGGAAGAATACCTTGCTTGATTCATTCATTGCTTTCACCTCAGAAAAAAAACATTGAACAAGGGCAATGCGTGAGGACTGGCGCAAGATTTGGTAGCTAGGAGAACGTCATGCAGGGTCTCTGGTCTTCACATTTTCCTCCAGCTCTAAGTCGCATGTTCCCAAACTTATTTCCTAGCCACGCTAGTAGTAACAGGTGCCACGCTAGTAGTAACAGGTGCCTTACTAGTAGTAACAAGAAGCTACTAGGAACAAGTGCATCGC